GTTATAACTCTTTCAAATAAATAAATACATCTTTTCTTTAAAACTGGATGATCCACTCCCTAAGTGAGCCCAACGGCCGATGCTGTGCCGATCCGAAGCCAGGAGCCAGGAACTTCCTCCGGGTCTCCCATGTGGGTGCAGGGTCCCAAGGCTTTGGGCCGTCTTCCACTGCTTTCCCAGGCCACAGGCAGGGAGCTGGATGGGAAGTGGAGCTGCTGGGATTAGAACCGGCGCCCATATGGGATCCCAGCACGTTCAAGGCAAGGACTTTAGCCGCTAGGCCACGCCGCCGGGCCCAATAAATGCATCTTTAAAAAACCCTGCGATTATACAACTCTTGATTTGACAGTATCTATGAAAGTTTAAAATGTATATATGCTTTACGCTTCCATGTTCCATGTCTACGAATTTCCCCCACCGATTCTGCCCTACAGTATTGGTAAACTTTTTAAAACTACAAATACAAACAGCAATAAAAAATTGTTTAAATAAGTTACAGGATATTCACTAAAGAATGATATGGCTCTTTATGAACTGATTTTTAAGTATTATGTTTTCTAAAGACAGAGTGGGAAATTCCGAAAGAAACACAGGCCCAGTGCAATGGCTCAATTGGGTAGTATTCTACCTACAAGCACCCACATCCCATATGGGCCCCAGTTCATGTCCCTGCAGCCCCACTTCCCATCCAGCTCCCTGCTTGCGGCCTGGGAAAGCAGTGGAGGACGGCCCAAAGCCTGGGGACCCTGCACATGCATGGGAGACCCAGATGAGGCTCCTGGCTCCCGGCTTCTGACTGGCTCAGCTCCAGCCATTGTGGCCACTGGGGATGGAAGATCTTTCTTTTGTTTCTCTTCCTCTCTGTAAATCTGGCTTTCTAATAAAAATAAATAAATATTAAAGAGAAAAAAGAAAAAGAGACACCCCAGTTGATTCCCCAAATGGTTTCAATAGTCAGGGCCAGGTGAGGTTAAGATCAGGAGCCAAGGACCCAGCTCAGTAGCCTAGTGGTTAAAGTCCTCACCTTGTACATGCTGGGATCCAGCATGGGTGCCGGTTCTAATCCTGGTGACCCCGCTTCCCATCCAGCTCCCTGCTTGTGGCCTGGGAAAGCAGTCAAGCGTGGCCCAAAATTTTGGGACCCTGCACCTGCGTGGGAGACCCAGAAGAAGCTCCTGACTCCTGGCTTCAGATCAGTGCAGCTGTGACCAATGGGTCACCTGGGGGAGTGAACCACTGGACAGAAGATCCTCCTCTCTGTCTCTCCTCCTTTCTGTATATCTGACTCACCAATTAAAAAAAAAAAAAAAAAAAGACCAGGAGCCAGGAATTGCACCCAGATCTTCCACATGGATGGTAGGTGCTGAATGCTTGGGCCATCTTCAGCTGCTGTTCAGGCACATCAGTAGGAAGCTGGCTTGGATACCAAGCAGCAAGGACTCAAAACAGCGTTGTGATATGGGATGCCAACACCACAAGCTACAGGTTTACTTGCTATGCCAGAACACTTGCTCTAAAGCCAGGAGCCAGGAGCCTCTTCTGGGTCTCCCACATGGGTGCAGGGTCCCAAGGCTTTGAGCTGTCCTCTACTGCTTTCCCAGGCCACAAGCAGGGGGCTGGATGGGAAACGGGGCCTCCGGGACACAAACTGGTACGTTTTTGCTTTTAAGAGAAAATATTTTGGGGGACAAGCACTTGGCAAAACTGTTTAGCTGCCACATGAGACTCCTTGGTAGCATGCTGGAGTGCCTGGGTTTACATTCCAGCTGCACTCTCCACGCTGGAGAAGCTGAGTGAGTTCTAGGCTCATGGCTCCATGGATTCCAGCCCCCGCTGCTGTGGGCACTGATGGCGGAAGCCAGGAAACAGAAGAGCTGCCTGTTTCTCTCTGTAAAGTAAATTAAAAATAAATTTGAAATTTAACAATACTTTCCATTCAAACTCAAATTCCATCTCAGTTGTGTGGGTATTTATTAATTTTAAATGATGAAAGTTGTGAAAACTACATCTTCAAGAATATATTCACCAAAAGTCTGTTTTTAATTTTATCAGCAATTACAACAAAGCTTTAAAATTACCATTTTCATGATGCACAAGTCTTCCATGACAACTAAGCTAGGTATTTCAATAAGAAAAATGTTACTATTCTATTTCTAGAAAAAATAATCAGCCTGCAATTACATTAGTTGGAAAACAAACTGTGCTCTGTGTATCCCAGTCTATCCCAAAGCTCTACTAAACATATCAAGATTGGGAACACACGCAGGCTGAAGATGCGCCACCTCCTGTCTTCCAGGATGAGCCCTGGAGCCTGCCCAGTGGCGAAGGCACACCTCCACGGCTTGGCCCAGCTCTCAACGCCAAGAAGGGGCTCAAAGGCTTGTGGGAGGAGCACAAGCTAACAGTTGTGAGGCAACAGGTCTCTTGTCAAGCCTGAGGCAGAAACTTCAGAAAGAAAAAGTAACTCTATAGATGAAACAGGAGAGACAAGTTTAAGAGAGACTATCCGCTTAAAGAAGTCAGCTTGGAAACAGGAAGACTGGCCCACCAAGTGGCTGATGCAGCCTGGCCCCATCCCACCCTCAGCTGAACACAGAACCAAAGCTAGCAAGTACAAGCACAAGGTCAATGGCAGAGGTTCTGGACAGTGTAGGGAGGCAGTTAGGCGCTCTTCCGCACAGACAGTAAGTTTTTGTGTGTGTTTGTGTGTGGCTCATATATTTTAAAAGCTACAAGAGAAGCTTTTAAATTTTTTCATCAAGAGACAGTAAATATTTGAGGAAATTGTTACATTTACCCTGAAGGGAACATACAACGGAAATACTTTCAGATACCTCAGAGTATCCTGTAAATATGTAAACTTTTTATATATCAGGATAAAAAGTGAAAATTCAGACATCTCCTGTATCAAATCCAGCAAAAGCCAAAGATAAATGACAAAGTAGGAAAATATCTGCACAACAGACTTAATATCTTCATACATTAACTGTTACAAACCAACTAAACAATGTCCCAATGGAAAACTGAATGTAGAATATCCACAGGCAATCCCCCAAGGCACGTGATTCCTGGGTGTGATGATGCCATGGCTCAGAACACCCACTTCCCTGGCTCCAGTTTCCTGGGAGGCAGCAGGTAACAGCTCAGACACGTGGTTCTCCATGACACCTACACACGACACCTGGCCTGAGTCCCCAGGCTTCTCTGGTTTTATGCTGGCCCAGCCCTGACTGTTGGGGCATAAATCAGCAAACATATTGCAAATAAATAAATAAATAATAGTTAAAAAATGTACTTAGAGGGGGAAATCCTCCCCCCCCGCTCCAGTGCGAAGACAGGAAGCGGCCCTTTCTCAGAGTGTGCGGGAATCAGCGACTCAAGTCCAGCCGCTCGGCAGCATCCCTGGCACGGCAGGAAGTTAAACCCTTCAGGATTTTTCCTAGCTAACCACTGCGAAAACCCACCATCAGATGATAAAACTCCTGAGGTAAAGTCAGCAGTGGTTATGAGGCAGAGGAACATATGTGAGGTAGAGGCAAACGTGTAATATCATCTTGCCAAAACAGAAAAGGCAAACTCTTAGAAGGTTCAGAGGGATCCAGAGCAAGGGGAAGCTTTCATTATTTTTTACTGGATAAGTTTTTTTTATAAGAGCACATATTTTCATAACTTTAAAAAAGTAGAAGAAAACAAATAAAAATATTAAGCATTTATCTATTAAACACAGGTTTCCTTTGAGAATTCACTTCAAAGTTCCTTTAAGTTCAAATAGCTATATTTGTCTGTCATAATAAGCGCTATTTTAAAACATTTGTTCCTTTCTGCATTTTAAGATAAACTATTGTGTCAGTACTGCCCGTTTTATAAATCTTCTTTATAAACGGATCAAAAAGGGTTTGGGAAACACCAACTATGGCACAGACCTAACATCTGCCACTTGGAGCCCCCAGTGCATTCAGTCTGCACAGAGCTCCTGTCGGCTGGCGGGCAGCACGCCCACAGCGGGGAAGGGGTGCGCAGGCGAGCCGTGCTCCCCACTCGCTCGCCACGCCTTCCACGCTGCAAGACCCAGCCTTGCCCCTCAAGCAACCTCCAAACGTGCTAGGGCAGATCTCACCACAGATCACCAGGCAATGAAGTGTCACTTGAGGCTCTTGGCTAGACTCACAATGGCAGCAAGTGTGAAACTCACACGTTTTCACAGAAAAAGAAGTGAGAAAATTCAAACGGACCATTCTGCTTCACTACCTGGAATTTTTAAAATCCAGGTGTTAACCCATGCGATGTGGAGCAAATACTGATCACACAAAAGGAGAGCTTGAGAGTTGGGGTAAAAAGTTGAGCAACCAGGAGCCATTCATTTTTACAAAAGCGAACTGCGCACAAGGGGGCCCAAGCAGCTGAGCTGGCCCTAGGATGCCTCAGACCCCTGGCCTTGCAAAAACCATCTATCCCAACACCCAGATGTGCATGCGCGGGAGGAGCGTGACAGCTGTCAGGAGGGCTTCCTTCTAGGGGACCACACACAGGCTCCCATATCCTGAAACCCAAGCCGAAAGAGCAGCACAGTGCTGTGCACCTGCTGGCCCCTCCCTGGCCCTGTGGCCCTGCCCCGTCCTGTGGCCCTTCCCGGCCCTGTGGCCCACCTCGCCCTGTGGCCCTCCCTGGCCCTGTGGCCCTGCCCCATCCTGTGGCCCACCTGGCTTGGCTCAGCTGACCTGCTTGCCTCTAGGTGAACTGAATCTGCAGATCACCAGTTCCAGCTCGAATCTGACGCCCACCCCCAGATCACGCCATGGCGACCGAGGAACCCCAACTGACTTTTTCAGGGCTCAGGGAAGTGACTTTTTTTTATTATATGGCACAGTTTGGCACAGTTATATCTTTGGGGTACGTTTACACTGTCCAAGAGTAGTATTAATCTTTTTAACCTTTTTTTTTTTTAAATAGATGGCCAAACCAGGACATATACTAAAAAAAAAAAAAGGAAGGTTACTTACCTGAGCCCTAACATCCCAGCTACCATGGATTCCTGTTGGAGCTGGTCTACAGAAGCAAGGTGTATTCTGGGGAGTCACATGTCACATCAAAGCAGGAACTGGTGAGTCTGTATTTTTATGGAGCCTAAAACAAAGAAAATCGTAAGTTGAAAGCCCCCATTGAGCTGCACCTTTTTCCCAGGGCCATTTGGGACATTTTGAAGACAAACACAAAGACAAAATACTGTGCTAGTTAGTACCCGGCTTACCTAGCTGGAAACAAAGGCTAATCAACTGCAGATGACCGGCCCATGACACGAGCTTGTTAGAATCCACACTATCACAGGCCTCGTCACCTCTAGGGGACACTCTGACACTACAGAGTATTCTGTGAGCAGTGACTTCTGGCAATTTCTTCTTCCACCATGTCATACAGAAATACTTGGGCAGAGAATACACGTTCAAAAGTCCATGCAATATCAAAAGGCCATATGAAACCCAGAGGCACAATCTCCCTTTGGCAAGCAGCTGAAGTTGCAGGGAGCTGCCAGAACGCCAGGTCAGGGGCTCAGGCCCCTACCGCGCCGGCAGCCAGGAGAGCCGCAGCCATGCTCTGACCCAGTCAGCAAAAACTCCCCACTTCACTGTTCCCAGTGTCTCTCCTTTGGAATATCACGTGTAAAAAGTACCTGCCTTCAAAATGACTATCACCGCCTCGTTCCAGGGAAGCTGCCACCTATCACCCCATTTCTGATAACCTGGTGGCCAGCTTCAACACAAAAGCTTAGAATACTGAGCGGGTGGGCACTGTGACATAGCTGAGTCTCCACGTGCAGAGTCCCAGCTCCTCCACTGGTGCTCCAGCTCCCTGCTCACGCACGGAAAGGCAGAGGAAGATGGCCCACACGCTTGGCTTCCCGCCATCTACGTGCTGGCTTCAGTCTGGCCTAGTCCTGGTTGCTGGTAGCAACTGAGGAGTGAACCAGAGCCTGGAGAATCTCTCCCTCTCTCCGTGACGCTTTCAGAGGAAGCAATCTTGGAGAGTCACAGCATTCCTCAGGCATCTTTCACAGCTGCCGTGGAGTTGCCTGGACGGCACTGAGCATCAGCTTTTGAGGTGTAGTGACACCTCACGATTCCCTCAAGTTAACAATATCACTTGATTAGCCACATAAGAAAAATCAAACTGGTATCTTGGCTGGGAGGTCCTAGAAAGTCCCACCTTCTTACGGTCACAAGATTTTGGTTCTAAGGGAACTGCACTAAGGGGCCTTCTAGCTCTGAAAGAGAAACATCCTAATTATCTTGAGGTTTCATGGGGGAAAAGGTCAGAAAATAAGACCAGTCAGGTGAAAAGCCAATAAAGTAGGTCTATATACAAACGGGCTTCAAAAAGTCGGTAGAAAAATGCAATTTTAAAAAATGGTACCAATCTAACTCAGTAGCCTCGTGGCTAAAGTTCTTGCCTTGCATGTGCCAGGATCCCACATGGGAGCCCCACTTCCCATCCAGCTCCCTGCCTGTGGCCTGGGAAAGCAGTGGAGGACGGCCCAAAGCCTTGGGACCTGCACCCACATGGGAGACCCGGAAGACGCTCCTGGCTGATTGGCTCAGCTCCCACCGTAGGGGTCGCTTGGGGAGTGAATCAGTAAACAGAAGATCTTCCTGTCTCTCATTCTCCTGTCTGTATATCTGACTTTCCAATAAAAATAAATAAGTCTTTAAAAACAACGGTACCAAAAACTCTGAAATTCATACATAGGAACGATCCTCACAAGGCTCACGGAAAAAGCATACTACAAAACAAAAACCAAAAAACTATGCACAGCTATCAAATTTCACTTTGTAAAAAATACTCTTCTCTTTTTCATTCCATTCCCACTAAAACGCTGCCGTTTCCTGCTCTGTCAGGCGGGCAGTTCTCCAAGCAGCGCCCCTCCTGAAGGCATGGTCCCGGCACTGACTCTGAGGCCGCAGCAAGTGGCCATAGCGTGATGAAGAGCCTCGACAAAGCTCTCAACGCCATGGCTTCCGGTCCTTACGGCAGGGTCACCTCTCTCCCTTCCACTCGGCAGTGGGGACGCTCTGAGCACCCTCCCGGTTCTGGTGCAGTCAGCTGTCCCGCACCTCTAGCTAGCCTCGAAGTGGCAGGACCCAGTGTTTAAATGATGCTGTGCGCATCCAGCTCCTGCGAGCAAACAGGCTTCTTGCAAGAGAGGACACCGGAGGGACCAGTAAAGCAGTTCAAGCGTCGCATGCGCGAAGCTGAGGAGGAAAGTTCCTTTTCCATCCATCCTACTCCACTTGATGGGGAGGCGCAGCAGTCTACCCAGCGAAGGCTGCCATGGAAGCAGCTCCCCAGAACTTAGCAGTCTTAAGGCCGTGCCTGATCCTTGCATGCTCAAAGCACTCATTGCTGGGCCTCTGCTCCACTTCAGCTCCAGCTCCCGGCTTACGGCCTGAGAGCACGGCAGACGCCCCACGTCCCTGGGCCCCGGACTTCTTTCAACAAATTAGTCCAAACCCAGGTGCTAGGCTCCCAACTTCAACCTGGACCAATTCTGGCTAATGCAACAGGGAATGAACCAGCGGATGGAAGACAGCTCTAACTTTGAAGTACATAAAAATAAATCTCATAAAAATGAAAAAAAAAAAAAAAGCCAACTCATGACCACAAATGCCCAACTCTTTCTGTGGGTCTCTTTTCAGAGTTAACTAAAGGAACCTGGCAACAGAGTGCTCTCAGGCGGTTCTTGGCATCCCAGTGCACACCTTCGGACCGAACCACAGACTGCAGGACGCACAACGAGCCCACGAAGAGCTCAGAGCGGGTCCACCGACACGAGGAGAGCTGCAGCAAGAGACAGCTTCTCTCGACTGCTCTGTACTCTCGCTGCAAACACGTGAACTTCTCGTTCCAGCACCGGGGGTGGCATCACAGTAGCCTCCTCTAGTTTGCGTGTCTCAAATGTCGCAGCCTGCCTGTCTGCCCTCTCCATTAGGCCCTGGGCAGGCCCAACAGGAGCAGGACAAGCCGGGCAAGTGACCCTGGCTCCAAGTTCCAAATATGTCAACACAGAAGGCGAAATGCCCTCCCGACAGGGCCTCGCCGCACACCTACCTCAGAACTCACACAGCCACGGCCAGTCGGGCACCCTGGTCAGGTGCCACATCGCCCAGGACAAGTCTGAGTACCGGAAAACAGAAGTGTGATGGGGCCAGTGCTAGCGAGCCAGCAAGCCGTGGCTGGCTCTTCACGCTGCCAGGACACAGACTTCGGAGAGACCGTATTCTGGAAGCTGCCTGCCAAGGGCATGACAGGCAGCTCCCGGGAGGGACACCAGGGCACACAGGACCAACTACGGAGCACAAAGCAGGGAGCTCGCCCTCCGTCTGCAGCCGAGATGGACGAATCTGGGCAAGGTGGCTCCAGCAGGCTTGCGTGGGCGCCTGCAGACGGGACACGACCATTCCCCTGGTGGCAGGCGACTCCTTCCACTAGACTGCCACATGCAGCCGAGAAACTAACAGCAAGCCTTGCCCAGGCTTCCTGATTAGAATGTGACATGGAAATCCCGGAAAGTCCACAACTTAACCCATTTCTGTAACTCTCTGCCGGAGATCCCACAGACCTTTCCACAGACCCACCAAGGGTCAGCTGACTGCTGCTAGGAACCGAAACTGCTGCAGTGCTCACGAAATCCCAGCCGGGGCACTCCAAACTGTCCACGAGAGGCAAGCTTGTCGGTTAGCCTAATTTTCTCTTTGATGCCCGAATCACGTGCTGATTCTGTGGTGTGAGAGAACAGCTAAACTTGTGAGTCCCACGGCTTCCCAAGCACTCAGCGCTCGGCAGCAGCCCATCAGTGCAGTTCCAGCATGGCCAGGCACCCGAGTGCCACCTCAGTCCGCCGCCTCACATTCCGGGGCACCGATCACACCCCCAGAGCCCGTTCCTGGAAACACCAGAAGCACACACTTGCCTGACCATGAGTCAGTAATATCAATTTTGTGGTGCAGCCCATGTCTGCTGTGACCAACCCACGCCCCAGCACACTCATAAAAGCTGCAGCTCCCACCGAGCTACTTCAGGGCAAGGTTTCCCCCGGGGGCCGCTGGCCCACAGCGCCCTAAATGGTGTCCTCGCGCCAGCACGCTGCCTGGAGTCTAGCTATGACCTTAAGTCTTGAGCACACAACTCCAGACATACTGCCATCCCAGAAGCACCTGAGCGTCAGTGCCTGCGAGGCGCGTCAGGCAGGGGCACACTGAACAGAAATGGAAGTTTGACAGAGAATGGGCAGGAGGCAGAGCGGGGCGATCAACTTGCTCCATCTGGGACTGGCGAGCCCGGTACATACTATGTCCCACTCCACTTATGTAACTGGGAGATCGCCGGCGAAGGGGGGGAGATGGGAGAGCGCTTGCATTCCGAAGCTACAGCAACCCCCAACAAAGCACCCCCGAGCGCCCCGGAGGGGCACGCCGCCGCCACCGAAGCGCTGCAAGTGCTGGAGGATGCACAGTTCTGGCAGAACTCTAAGCACCTCTTTCTGATGAGCAGTGAGACCAGCGAACACAACGTCTAGCGTCTAGTCCGTTTTGTGGGTGGGCAATGCCCCCTTCCTGCTCGTTCCAGCTGGGTGGTACGGAGCTGGCGGGCCGCGGCGCTCGCCACGGGGGCAAAAAGTCCCGGAGCGGGCGAGCAGGAGGGGGAGGCAGAGCCGGAGATGGGGGTGAGGGCGCAGGAGCCCTTGTGGCGCACTCTCCCGACGGGAGGCGAAGTGCGCACGCGCGCCGCTGGGGGGGCCGAGTAACGGGAGTGGGGGCGCGCGCGGGAGGGCGCGGGGAGAGCGCCCGCCAGGGAGAGGCCGGGGCCGCGGGCGCGCGACGGCGCCGCGGCCCGGAGCCCCGGGAAGGGCAGCGGCGCGCAGCCCCGGCAGGCGAAGCCCGGCGACAGCGGCGCCCGCGGGGCCCGAGATGCGCGCAGGGGCGGGGGGAGCAGGCTGCGCCTGGCGAAGGCGGCCCCGGCAGCAGCGCCAGGACGGTCACCCGCCAAGACGGCTGGCTGGCCGAGGGCAGAGCCGCCACCGGCGGCGACGGCGGCGGCGGCGGCGGGGGAGGGTAGACAGGATGGACGCCATCCTCCAGCCGTGTCGTCCGACCCCGCGGGCCCCTCCCGCGCCACGTCCCGCCCCTATCCCCCGCCCCCCGGCTAGGGTCCCCGCCCGGGGCCGCGGCGGTCCCACTCACAGTCTCTCCTCCTCGCCTCCTCCTCCTCCTCCGCTCGGCGCGGCGGCGGCGGCGGCGGCCATTTTCCGGACGGCTTTTACCACAGCCCTCTCTCCGAGAGGAGGGAGCGCGCGCGCCTCCGACGCCGGGACCCCGCACGGACGACGTCGCGCCCCGCCCTCCCGGCCTGCTTGCGCACTGTTGCACCTGCGCGTCTGCGCCCCGCCTCTGGCGCCGCCGCGATCCCGCCCGCCATTGGCTCGGGCGGCCGGGATGAGGCGGGGCTTTGGGGACGACACCCACAATTGGCGGGAGCGCCTGTCCTTTTCAACCAGGGAAAAGGGGCGGACCTCAGTGCAGCGGCCCATTGGCTGCAGTCTGGCGTCACTTGGGGAAAAGAAAAGGCTCGGGTGCGCAGGGGCCGGTTTACTGGGCGCAATTTGAATGTTAAGGATTGATGGGCCCTTGCGGATGCTAGGGCAATTGAAGGCCTAGCCTTCGAATGTGTGCTTGTAGGGCTCCGCTGGGTAGTTGCTCTTCTGTCCTCAAACGCGTCGCGCACGCCGCAATACGCGTTTTTACGGTACAGGCGTTTGCTCAGTATCACCACCTTCAGTACACGCAGCAAAATTGTCTGCGCTGGGGCCTGATGTTCCCGCCGAGGCAGCTTGGTCTAAGAGGCCTACCCCTTGCACTGTTTCCTTGTGATGGAGGATAAGCTGACAAGTCACAGCTCTTGCCTTTGCGGAACTCTGGCAGGGGGAGAGGGTGCGTGCTGAGGCTGCGTGGGACCTGTCATTGTTGCAGCAACTGAGGTGGTGCAGGTGTGCAGAAGAATTGTGCAAGCGCAAAGGAAGCAGTGCTTAGTTGTGCCTGGAAGACATGGCTTGAGAGCTGAGATCCAGCACTCCTGTTTCGAGAAAAGATTAAAGAGTGTCAGGAAAGTTTGAAGGTGGCAGTGTGAAGGCAACGCTTCCCGGATGCCACTCATCACGCAGCTCACAAGTGCTCCTGTGCTAGTTTCATTCTAAACAAGGAACTTTAGGGTTTGCGTTTGCCACCACCCGGCCCACCGACTCTTTATAAAACACCTGCTTAGGGCCCGGCGCCATGGCTTAGTGGCCCAAGTCCTCGCCCTAAATGTGCTGGGATCTCCCATATGGGCGCCGGTTCTAATCCTGGCGGCCCCGCTTCCATCCAGCTCTCTGCTTGTGGCCTGGAAAGGCACTCAATGACGGCTA